TTGCGATGTACCCTACAACCCCATCTTCCAATTCTTTATCCCCAAAAAATGTTCTCCTCTTTCATTTTATAGGATCTAATGTATAGGTTCTCATTTGGAGAAGTCGCTTTGACCTTGGATGACCTTCAAAGTCAAGGTCAATGCTAAATTCAAAGTTAGACTGTTCCTTTGTTTTTATTTCCGGATTCAAACGTATGGTCCCGTTTAAGAAAATCGCGTTGACTTTGAAACGACCTTCAAGGTCAAGGTTATATGGAAGCTTAGAATTTCCCCTCTTTCGATTTGCGGGGTTAAAATCATAGGGTCAGATTTATTTAAATCATTTTGACCTTGAATTGATCTTGAACGTTAAGTTTAAGGTCAAGGTCACCGTTAGATTGCCTAAATAAAATCTTACAACATTTGTCTTGATCATTTTTCTTCCGGTGAGTATCTGCTGAGGTGGGGGGTCGGTAACTTATTGACCATCGTGTATTTGTGAAAAAATTGCGATGTACCCTACAACCCTATCTTCCAATTCTTTATCCCCAAAAAATGTTCTCCTCTTTCATTTTATAGGATCCAAGGTATAGGTTCTCATTTGAAGAAGTCGCTTTGACCTTGGATGACCTTCAAAGTCAAGGTCAATGCTAAATTCAAAGTTAGACTGTTCCTTTGTTTCTATTTCTGGATTCAAAAGAATGGCCCCGTTTAAGAAAATCGCGTTGACTTTGAAACGACCTTCAAGGTCAAGGTTATATGGAAGCTTAGAATTTTCCCCTCTTTCGATTTGCGGGGTAAGAATCATAGGGTCCGATTTATGAAAATCATTTTGACCTTGAAGATTAGGATTAAGGTCAATGTCGCCGTTAGATTCCCTAAATAAAATCCTACAGCATTTGTCTTCATAATTTTTCCGGCGGATATTTTCTGCGCAAACAATGTACACCTCCACGGTTACTCATGTAAGTAGATAGGGGAGAAACCTTTCAAGATCAGTTCAAAGGGAAGGGCAGTTTAAATAATATAAAAGACCAGGATATCCTCAAAGCAAGGTCTGTACAAGTAGGCTATGCAAACAGTGCGTAACCCCCGCCGTCATATGGCGCTCACGTATGTTGTAGCTCTACAAATATGGAGTTAGAAGCCGGGTTTAGCTGGAAAGGTTATTAAAGCACCGCGCGGAAGGGTTGAAACACCCTCCGAGGAGGAAATTTGACGAGAATTACGACACTAGAGTAAATGTTTGCTTTTCGCTTCGCCGCATCGCTCCTCAGGGTGAGACGAAAATACGGGCAAATCGACGCTTTATGGGTCTTGGGGTAAATGAGGGGGTGCTTCATACACGGGGAAAAACAGTGCGTGGTTTGACTACTAGAAAAGCTGCGATTAAGTAGTTAATAAAGGAAACTATGTTGAAAAAATGAGTTCAATAGAAACGGTACCGTCTAATAGGATAGGATATGATAGGATATGATAGAATATGATAGGATATGATAGGATATGATGGGATGTGATAGGATAGGATATGATAGTATATGATAGGGAATGATAGGATATGATAGGGCATAATAGGATATGATGGGATGTGATAGGATAGGATATGATAGTATATGATAGGATATGATATGATAGGATATGATGGGACGTGATAGGATATGATAGGATCTGATAGGATATGATTTGATAGGATATGATACGGTATGATAGGATATGATAGGATAGGATATGATAAGTTATGGTAGGATATGATGAGATGTGATAGGATAGGATATGATAGTATATGATAGGAAAGGATATGATAGGGTATCATAGGATATGATAGAATATGATAGGATAAGATAGGATATGATAGGATAGGGTATGATAGGATATGATAGAATATGATAGGATAGGTTCGTGGTTGACTGTGGTCGGACAAGTAAAACGAACAATTTAATGAAAAAATAATAGTAATAATAAGGTGACTATTTGTAATCTTCCGCATTACGGCGAAGTTTGGCTTGATGGCGACTCTTCCAGTTAACCATAAAATGGACGAAGCATTACAAAAAGTTTACGCACGCAACACAAAGCAATTACAAAACAGTTTTGGAATTATATTAATTACAAGCACAACAAGCTAGAAAGAGGAGTAATATTGTAAATACAAACGAACGAATGAGAATTAAGGATCACCTCAAGCATTGAGAGATGCATGCATTTTTGAAACGATGTCTAAGACTTTTTGAAAATAAAAATAATTTGCCGATTGAGAGATTTGGAAAGCGTAAGTTTGCGGGTAAGAATCTTGTCGGCGTGCGTTATTTACTTAGTAATACTTCTTCTGAAAATTATTCATGTTTGTTTTAACCTAATTTAACAATGTCCTAAACGATCTTTCTACCACTGGACGTGAACGAACTCGTTTGCCGTCAATAATACAAACTTATCAAACAAAGATGAATCATGGAACGAACATGTCACGATCACCCAAATCGAGTGCCGATCTTTTGTTTGCGGACATACTAGTGAACTTGGTTTGCTTGATACCGCATTGTCCCTTCATGGTTTGGTGCACTGTTGCTAAGGCCTGTCGATATATTACGTTACCGCTGGCGTATCAACCGTGGGCCGGCAGTCGAATCCTGCCTATATAACGACCCTTTCGTATCAGACTCACTAGCGTAGCATAAGGGCATCTGTAAGTAGCCGTCGATATTCTTCAGAAGAAAAAACAATGACGAAGGTGGAGTTTCAGCTTGCGCTGATTTTTTTGACCTAAACACAATTTTAAAATTACTATAAAAAAAAGTACATAAATGAAGCTGCCTTCCTTAATTTGTCCATCTTAAGCCCTCCCGATTGCCCAAAAGCACCTCTAATATGATCAAATTTACGGATTAAGAAATAAAATCTGATGCATTCCGATTGTTCAAAAACGCGATTCGGAGATTATAACGGTATCTGTCAGCGAATTGTCAAAAGGAATCAACTTTGGACATACGACGTTTGTAGATTAAGTGATGAAACTGGCAACGTAGCGTTCGATCTGGCAACACTGGAGGCGTCGGGCTCGGAGGAGAGACAGGAGAACATGCAGCGTTGCCAGGCGTCGCAATTTGACGGATTCAAATGACGACTAAAATGGATAGCAATATCTGGCGCTTTTTAATATTTCTAACGGCAATTAATTTGTAAGAACCGTCTCCAGCGCTGTGTGGTTTCAGAAGGAAGTTATCTTGAGGGTTCTAGATGGAAATAACGCTTCAAATTCATAAAAGCCTTTCAAATAAAACAGTAATTATAAAAAAATACTGATGGAAGATTATCAACTGTAGAAGCCAGAAGTGAACGCCACTGGTCTCGTGAATGGATCTCGCCCTCCCCCCTGTCAGTACTTATGGAAAATTACTCGATTTGACACACACCTTTAGAAAACGTCCCCTGCGTTTTTTAATCTATGCTTTCGTATGTCGGTCAAATATCGTTCAAACACATGCTCTGTTTTGGGTTACCGTTGCCGTGTACGTTTTGCATCTTCTAGAGTTTTTTCTGCAGGCGACGATAATTGGCCCATACAACATCTAAATTTATATGTCACTTAGTATATATACTCATACAAACATTACTAGCATTATCCGTGATTCTGGAGGAGAAAACTTAAATACCTAAAGCGGGCTTCTATTTAAAAAAATCGGTCCATCCTACAAAACACGAAATTCGTAAATATAAATGATCGAAGTTGGAAAGGCCAGTCATTTACATACGATAAGAATAACAGAGGGCCGAGGACAGAACCTTGTGGAACACCATGCAAAACTGGGCTCTTTGAGGATTTGCAGCCAATGTGATTAAGTTAAGAATGACGTGTATAAAAATAGCGTCTATAAATTGTTTATTCTCACATAGTTCTAGAGGGCCATTATTGTCTAGCAAGGTTGTAATGTACTATTTTATCCTCCAAATTACTATAAATACCGACATACTATATCCTTAGTTCCAAAGTGACCAGGTAGATTAGAGGATCCACAAGGTAGAGTAGTAGTAGTCTTATCAGCAAGGCATGGTTTAAATACAGTAGGGAAGCAACACAGAGACAGACAGACATCTGGCGTCGAGACAGACGGATCTCTGGCAGACGCTCTTGTCTCGGATGCTAGGCGTCATAGCAATTTAGGAAAGACCATAAAGGAGATATGGGATCCCGTGGTGATGTAAGGTACAGCGATTATTGCAAGAGACAGAGCCGTCTTTCACAACATTCTAGAGATTCGGCTCTGGTCATTTGATAGCGTAAATTTTCGTAGTTAAAACATGTAAGCCTGGTCCTCATGATAAAATAAATGGCACGACAGTACGGTTGACCAAAGATCTGTTTAACTATTGCTGTTATTGGATGCACAGATTTGCGCAAAAGTTGGTCGAATCCAGATTTACATACCCATACAAAGTCGAAACATCCAAGTCGGAATTTGATGGTTTTCGGTAGCAATTGTAGGACGCCTTGATTTTCATAGCTTTCTACTGTTCCCTGTCAGCGCTCCATTTTGAGTTTATGTTACAAATATCTATTGTTTTATTTTTGTTTGTGACGTATATTATGTTATATCGGCCTGAAATGTCTTGCAATCCAAAAAGCTAACATAGCCTCACAATCGGAGAGCGCTGATGCTGACACAGAACAGTATAAATCTAGAAATACCCCAATTTCCTGTAGTAGAGAAAAAACTGAAAATCATGGAGGCCTTCAATTGTAGGACGACTAACGATACGGCCCTTAAGCTTGCCAAGATTGAGGTTATACAGGGTGTACTAGAATAACGTCAATTTCTCATGTAAGAAAATGAACAAAAATGATACGTAAAGTGTTGACTATGACCCCCACGTGGATTTACATGTTGTATTTCCTTTATACGGTCACAGTATATGCTTTCGTGCTTCATCCTTGTTTGGAATCGTCAGTACAGCATCGATATTGGAGACCGAAATAGTCAACTTTTCACACAGCGGGGGAAAGGAAGGGATCGTGTAATAAAAGGTTTGTTTCATATAAAAATCGTTTTTTATTTTGCAATCACTGTCGTATAATACAAAAAGCATGAGATGAGATACACGGGCGCTGAGATTTGTGAGATATCGCGCCCGCTTTTTAAAGGAAATTATCACACATAGTAGCGGATCTACTCTAGAAACTACACGTTTTCTTTCAACTTCTTTCATCAATTATAAAAACTTAATAATATAAAATATCTTACCTCTCTACCGTATATAATATGTTATAGCCTCTTAATCATATACATAATAAAAACATACATGTCTAATTTAAAAAATTTGTACGATTTTATGCACGTCATATCATATATAATTATTACTTTCACAGAAAAAACGCTATATACTATATGATTTATCACAACAAAAATTAAAAAATGTCGGGCCAGGATCGCGGTCAATAAGCTTCAATCACAATGGTTTTATTGATTTTTTTTTGGGGTGACAGCACTCGAGAAATCTTTTTCGAGAGGTTTTGATTTTCTTACAAAAAAAATTTAATTCGTATCTCCTGCATTTTTAAAAAAAATGTTACTTAAGAAACAGTAAATTTAGAAATTTCTGTGAACGATCTTTTCTAAGAGGCTTTTCGATTTCTTAGGCGCTGTCACACTTATACTTAAGATAAAGGCCTATTTACACGTAATCCTGACTATCAGCAGTACTTTTAAAATAAATTTAAAATACTTGAAAACATTTAAGAGGGAATACGCCACATATGTTGCGGGCCTGGTACAAACCCTTTTTTATATCGTGATATTTCACTTTTAGAAAAATTATCTGATATTCAACCAGGACTGAAAATTTGAAAATGTTTGCTTCGATGATATGAATAGTTACTCTGCCAAATGCAATGGGGTGCATTTTTATTTCCAGGGTAGCTATTTAAGTTATCAAAGTAAATATGTGAATAGCATAAATAATTTGGAAACTAAAGCTAGATGTATGCGATATATGACCCTCTTAAGTACGCAGGTACGGTTTATATCAAGTTTTGTATTACTATAATACATATATCACCACTGAGAAAATCACGGACTTTGACTTTCGCAAAATCCTTAAAGGACCGCTATTGGACCATTCGTTCGAAATGTCAACCCTCTGAATTCGGGTTAAATCAATACTGTTAAAAAATAACTATATGTACTTCTCCACTCAAACTCTGCACAAGGCCACGCCTTCAAATGCACCGCAGTGAGCATTCGCTGTAGTTTGTATCAAGAAGGCTTGTACGATGAATAAATTTTTTGTAATCGTGTGATTGGTTAGTAATTTTCAATTCTTAGGTGCTCGGGTTGAATTTGAAATTACTGTCGCGATTTTCGGTTCGATGTGTAGAGTACGACTGGAGGTTTGTTGAAAAACTAAACACTAAAATCACGCTGCGCTTGTTGATTTTTCATTTCACAATATATATAAAAATATAAAATCATCTCGTATTTGTTTCTCTCTTTTTCATCAACTCGCAATTTTAAAGTGAGAAGGAAATTTGTTTCAGTCTATCTGCACGACAAGCGAAGGAAACTCACTCACTCGCAGCTGGTGCCCGGTAGAGTTTCTTCTTGGTTAGCTCATATTCCGTGCTTATGATCACCGTGCCGCCACGCGTTATTTTTCTGTAACAAAGAAACCTGGTTTAAATATAGAGCCTGACGCAAAACACCCAAAACCGAAACAAAAAAAAAAAACCGAAGAATATGGCAACTGCTTCACCTTTAGGACGACAGAATCATATTTCAAACGATTAACAAGTACATAAAGCCCTTACAAATTCAAGAGTCAATCAGCTGATTGCTATAACGGTTCATTAATTATGAGCCGATTGTGCTGTTCCCAAGCTCTATTAAAATGCAGGCACACCAAACCGAAAACGCAAGCCACGATGAGTTCGCGTTTTTCGAACAAACGCCGAAGTGCTAAAGGATCAGATGGCGGTGACGTGAAATTAGATTATTGTCAAGCTAAATTTGCGTGAAAATTCGTTTCCGTTTCCGAGATTCGTGTACAGGATGTTCCTTAGATGTGTCACAAAATCAAATACAACACTTATCTGACTACAGTTTCGATCCGCAAATCTTGTGACCTTGAAGGGCAAGTTGAGTAGATGCGGAAAATTGGTGGGTCTAGGACCGATCCCTGTGGAACGCTGTGTTGCCAGATTGTCACTAAAGTAGGGGTTTTAAAGACATTTCTGGCAAAACGTGGAACTAAGACTTTTTGAGCGCAAATTTGCATCTGCTGCAGAGCCACAAAAGCAAAAAATCATCGCGCGTGTTCCAAGATATATCCATCCCGTTTTGTACGACAGACCTTGAAGGGTAAGTTGCATAGATGAGAAATAACGGTGGCCCCAAGACTGATCCCCGTGGATCTTCAAATTTGAATGTTGCCAAATTGTCGCTAAAGTACGATTTTTGGGGAATGTTGCGATACTATAAAAATGGTCGCAATGGTTGCCAGATTGTCGATCTGGACGAAAGTTGCCATATTCCTGGAAGGAAAAGATCGTCCGAGGATGTACTCACTTCAAGAATTGCGGCAGGAACGCCCAGCCGGCGTTGGCCTGCTTGAACGTGAGATAGACCTCGAACGTGGAGGTGGTGGTGGGGTCGATTTTGAGGAAGCTCAATCGCCTGCAGTCTTCCTCCCCTTCGAACAGCAGGTACAGATTCATTCCCCTCAACCCGCACAGTTCCCCCTCGGACATACGGATGATGTCCCTGGACACCTTCTGCAGGAGTCCGTTGGGCAAGAGGACCTCTCCGCACGAGAGATGCGTCCTCTTCGCCGCGCGAATCTCCTCCTCTAACCTCTTCGACAGGAATTCCACCTGGGCGCTGTACTTTTCCTGCAGGAAAGGTCTAGGGTCGAAGTAGGTAACTGAAACAAAAGGAAAGCTAGGTTAGATCTAGAATGTTCGACCAAATAGTTGTTTACTATTACGTACAGTAGAGATATTGTGACCTTGAAGGTTAAATAGATGGGAAACAATGGTGGGTCCGAGACCGATCCCTGTGGGACTCCAAATTTGCGATGTTGCCAAACTGCCGATAAAGTACGAGCTTTAGGGAACTTTGTAAGAATGATACGTTAGATCTAAAGCGTTAGATCAAAAGTCGTTACTTTATATAGATCAGTACAAAGCATTTGTGAAATAAAGGACAATATATAGAAGTTAGCGTTAACCAAACACGGAAATACAGTTTACGAAGAAAACAAACTATTATACAAAGGCATTAGTTGATAAGTTGTTTCAAATATCAGAAAATGCACCAAACAATTTCGTATAGGATTTGAAGTAGGAACAAACGAATGCCCTTGCATCTTTGTAGGTTTTCTAAAACTCGCTCGTTATTTGTCAGAAGAGAAGAATCAAAAGTTTCTCTCAAAGAGTTTTATTCTACATTTATCATTTATATCACAAATTTTTAGTTGAATCGTATCAGCCAACTATTATCTTCTAACTGAAGCAATATTGTAACAATTTAAATCTAAATTGTCCTGTATTACGATTGCGATAGTCTATTTATAGTTCCAAAATTGGTTCGTAAATTACATCATTCGGATTGTTGAACAGTTTTATCAATCTTACTAATTCCCTCATATTGAACATTAGGTTCAGTCAAATATTTGAATAGATAAAATGTTGCATTAAATATTACTGCTTAGCAAGAGGGAATTATAAAATTAGGTCTGTTTGATGTTTAATCGTGTTTTAACTGGTCTGAGTCGGTACGGCAAAATTTGCACGGTAATAAAGAAAATGATAACGTGTTACTTTAAGATTGTACAGAAAATGATTTATCTATTTACAGTTTAAGTAGCATTCAGCCAAATAGTCGAAGTTTCATATAATTAACTTATCGTAATTGTCAATACATAAGATTGAGATAAGCTAAATGGAAGTCTTAGGTCTAGTATGTTGTGTTAAATGAAATCGAAAGTTTCTTGGAACTTTGCCAAACTACTTGAACTTTAACCCACTTCTGATTGTTGAGGTGACATTATAGATTCAATTGTTTCTAATCATTCACGCGTTTTCACAGCCGTCGAGATACTGAAAGTTAACACCAAACTACTATTATTATTGAAACATTAATAGAAAATTTATAAGATTAATAAACATCGACAATATTTTGATTTCATGCGAGTCTCAAGTAGTTCGAACAAGTTGCAAGTCTTCCTTGCAAGTCCTAACTTGTCAAAGTGCGACTTGTGACACCAAACTTTTGTAAATTTCTAACTTATCTAACTAAATCACAAACACACAGAGACTTGCAACGAAGACATTCGGACTAAACTAGGTCACGCGAGATCTAGTCTTTTGCGCTAAACACGATAAAAAGTAGAAATCCTCGGTACTTACTGTTTTGATATTGGGTAGGTTGAATTGGTAGCACTTCCATATTACTAAACACACTTAACTTATTATCACAACAGAGAATAAATAATCAGCTGACTGTTAATGCGATTGTGGAAGCTGTGTGGGCTCCTTTCTTGTGTTGGCAACCGCTGTTGCTGGCGAGGTGTTTTCACCTGCACGACTTTCTCTGACCGTATCTGACTGACTTCTGCCGGCCGGTCTTTCGTGCTCCGACTTTTATAGTTTCGCTCCCGATCGGCGAACGAAGATGGCCGAAGAGACGTTCGGAGCCGGTCGCCGGCGCACGTACACCGCACGCTTGTTGTTTCTTTGTTCTCGCGAGCCGCGTTGCCGGATCGACGCGGAAGTCGCAGGCGCGGAGAATCAGATGTTCTTTGTTTAGAAATATCGACTCACCGTTTTTGTCGGGATTGGGAGTGCTGGGTTGGTGGTCTCAGCTCATATTGGAGACTGTTTTACTTTCAACGTGCTTGATTTAGGAAATTTGTTTGGATATTAGATTTTAAAATTATTTGACTTTAGAGAAACACGAGTTTTGATAGATTAGAAGAAGTTACGTTCCGAAAAAGTCTGCCTGCAGAAAGAATCTAGGCTTACTGCATTTTTTCTGTAGAATCTGATTTTCTTTTGTTAATTATTGTTCTTTCATTATTATTTTTTCGAAGAACAACTTCAATTCTTTAGTATTTTTCCATATTTTGTAGTTTTTGGTCAAGTATCAAGACAAATGAGCATTGTTAGAAATTATTTGAATTAATTATATATTTTTTGAAATTTGGCCATTGCCAGTAATATAATATTGCCTACTAAAGCAAATGTCTTGCAAATGAAAATCAGAAAAAAATGATAGTATTTTGTCATTTTCACCGGTTTGTTCAGCAATAACATGCAGATTTTTTACTGATATGGGTGCCCAAAATTTATTTTTTAGGCGCTTCGAGGTGATTTTCACCGATTTTTCTTGCAGATTTTTTGACTGATTTTAGTATACGAATTTTTTTACACGTTTTAACGTCAAAAAAGGAACCGATTGCATATCTACCTATTTTTCACTAACAAGAAATAGATACAAGACTTTTTTCCTGGTACAACCCCATATCCATGACAAAGTTTCATCAAAAATTTTGTCTTCCTATTATTTCTGCCAAAGAGATTAGTGAACCTAGGTATATAATCTAGAGTACTCTAACAATCAGAAACAAGAAAGTAAAAAGAACCTTAGTCTTTGCTAAGGATACCTATAACTTTACTTTATCTTTGGGATCCATTTCTCAAATTACGGGAGAATCTTTAATATTCTAACCCACACAAAATTGGTATTTTTTATAACATGAGCCATTTAAAAGACACAGTAAATATCAATTCGTAAGAGATCATTCTACGTTTATTGTGGGTGTAGCTGTTTCTTCAGAACTTATTTTATACATATTCCTTTCATAATATCGCATTTTCTGGTATTGTTGTCTATATTACGTAAGCAATGCCACAGTATAAACTTCAATAGAACAAATACGTACTTTTGAGTGAAATATAAAACCATATACGGCAGAAACTTTGCCTACAGAAATTTCTTTTGGTACGTATGGCAACACCGGCAGCTAAACGCCCGATTTTTTTCAGCTGGAAATTCAGCCAAATTTACAATGAAAGTTTCTCGAATGATGATCCTAGGGTGCTATGAAACAAACAGAGGTGAAAAACGATGAAAATATAGTTTGATTCGGGTTGTTACTAGGCGATTAAAGTACCTGAATACGATTTTCTGTTCGACGAGAGTTTGTCCATAATTCGCCGGTAGATGATGCAATATTCCAGGCAGATAGCAACACATTGCGGCGTTGCCAAAGTTACGATACGCTTGCATACGAACGTGAACTGGAAACAAGCAAATTGTTCAACAAGATGGACAACAATTTTTACTGTACGTCTAAAAATGAAGTGGTGGGGAGTGTTCAGAGGTTTCTGTAAGAAACACCCTGTACCTTCGAAACTTCTGAGCGGATTTTAACAAATTTGGGCTAGTTGAAAAGAACTGCTCATTGCCCATGAATAAAGCAAAATTTTCGAACGTCTAATGATGCAGTACGACTTTTGAGCAAGAAACATCGTTTGTATGTGATAAAAACTTGAGAGAGGGTCTGTAAAATAGCCGCAATCTAAATTTTTCCCTAACACATGAGCATATTGCGATTCCAAGCCTTACATAGTCGCTCAACTCTTATTTATCTAAATCTAAAATAATCGCTTCAGTTCGTCATGAAAAGTGGTAACAAAAACACAGATAATAATTGTTCCACATCCACATTTTTCTTGAGTAAAATGCTTCGTTCGTTCATATCATCGGAAGCAGAACAGCATCTATTTTTTAAACATCTATACCAGCGAAATATCTCCCGACCAAGAACAAAGACCTTCGATCACTAGCAAATTCCTTGATTTCCGCTCACAATCTGGCAACGCCGCTCGCACAAAGCAGTCAGGCTGGCTGGTTCGGCCTAATGGATGAGTTTTCGTATTGGTGCGACAGAGACAGCGAATGAAAGACGGAGCGATAGTAGGGAAGCCTGTATTTGTATTGGAGCGAGAGAGATAGAGAGCGGAGGATGAAGATATAGCAGCAAAGGCTGCATCGGCAGGAAAGCGACGCAGTCAGCAGGATTTTGGTTTGGGAGGTACGGCGATACGGAGCAAGAGTTGGGATGATGCAATGATTGACTCTATAGCGCTCAGCTGAGCGGGCTTGCCGTCGGACTTTTATCTTTGGAAAGATAGCCACAGTAATTTTGCATTTATGACTGTACGATAGTCAATGCGTATTTACTGACTTTCACTGAGATTCTGATATAGTAGTGTTTCGAATAAGGGTATATATTGATTATTACAATATTATTTAACACGGGCAATAGTGTGAATTTCACAATATAGCCACAACTTTCTTACGGCAGAAACAATCATTTGATGTTATAAGAACATTTTTTAGAAAACACCTGCAAAAAACATTTTTTCTCGAAAACGATACGAGGTTTTCATTAAAGACAAAAAATGAAGAAAACAAAAGGATTTCTTAGATAGAAAAATTCAGAGTCGTTGCGAAAAAATTCTGCAATAAATCGTGTAGAGCTGGGGGTACTTTTTTGAGTCTAAAATACGCGGTACTTCTTTGTCCACGGAATATTGGGACACCCTGTATAGGGACTGGGTATTTCGGATAAGATTTACGATGAGAGAAAAAGATGATGCAATGACGAAGACGCTTATATGACGTTTTCGAAATTGTAGAAAAAATATAAACAATCAAGTAGGCAACGCGTTGAGGGATGAAGCTTTTGGGCTTTATTTTTAAGATTCATTTTTCAAAATGTTTGATCGGCGGACCATTATTGAAAGGAATGTCATTTTGCCTCTGATTTGTGCTTCTTCTTCTTCTTCTTAAAAAAAATTAAACATTGCTTATTGAAAAACTTGAAAATAGCGCGTGAAATTTATTGTCTTTCAAAATTCTTTGTACTGTTGGGCGTGTAAATCCTGAAGAAATAGTCAGTCCACGAGAGCTTCTTGATTTTATTTGAATTATACGCTGTGTAAAGAAAAGCTTAAGATTACCACCATGTACGATAATTCAAAACGCATTGCGTATGTAACAGCACAATAATGCCCGTATAGAAAAAAAGAGTACCATAATGTGCGGTTTGTTTCCAGCTAGTAATTTTGAATATACGCTGCTAACTTTCTCTCTTCTTGACAGTCGAGCCCGCTTTGTTAGGAAAAACTGTGTGACTGGCTAATTATAGATCAAACTGGTGAAAAAAGGCCGACAACACATGTAGTGTCATCGACTAACTATATTGCTACCAGCATTCGTATTTTTAGAATAATCCAATCTATAACAAAACGAAGGATAAATGTGTATGGAATAGCTCCTCAGTATATTTTGTACACATTTTTGCAACAGAACGACAAAAGTAATTTAACTTGTGATAGAGATGTTGAATTAATACGAATATACATTCTGACGTCAATAGTATCGGAAATATGACGTAGCTTTTGATACTGTTCTACAGATTTTTTACTTTGGATACTTTTGGTATAACAAAGTATCCGATGTGACCATGATTCTAACTCAGCAAGAAGTCTAAGCAAAACTTCTAAGTTTTGCAACGCTTCAATTTTTTTTCATTTTGTACAAACTTTTGCAACAGTACTTGTTTTCCTAGGTAAACATCTATTTCTTAAAAGAACTGCTGCATATGTACAGATTGTTGATACGAACACGTATGATAAACATTATTGCAAAATACTTATCTGCAAGCCATATTTATTTTGCGAGCGCCACGTCATTCTTTGCACGTATGTTATTTTATGTTTGGAATATGTTTTATATGACGCTAACATCTGCATATTGTTAGGAACTTGCACAGCATCTACTGGCATTGTTTTGGAGATGAGGCGCCATGTAAAAGACAGAAATGATTATATTCTTAGTAAATGCACTGACTGCAAAAACATTTAGTGTTATTAAAATGAGGAAATCGTTGAATGATGACCTCATAGTCTCTTAGAAACGTTCAATGCAGTTAAATATTCTTGAACCTCTACTGCATGTTTAAGAAGCATAAATAAGAACACACTATTTTTCATGATAGCAAATATGCTTGCAAGCTTTCATCAAAATTCGATAAATAATTCACGGCGTTGCATTTTTTATGTTTCCAGCTTTAGGAATATAATTCTAATCAAACGATGAGTGGTAGAAAGTATAACCGTAACCTGCTGACTGTCATGTACGGACATGCAACGTCTTGAAACCGTTGAGTCATCGAAAAATTTGCATCATTCAGGAAATCATAAAAGCAGAAATATCGATAACAGTCCGCGATACGGTATGACTCATACCAGCGAATATATTGTTTCAACTTTGTCCAAGGTTACTGTAACTAGATATACAATAATGATTAATGAGGGCTTATTTGAATATCAAATTTCTCTATTCTGAGGTAAAGACTATGATACGCGCTTCCTATTGTTCAGTCGATTGAAATCAGGCACATTTGCGGCAGCAAATTTTATTTTAAGCAACCATTCCCAGCCAGTCAAGCGGTCCTTCTCTGTACATAAAATTCGGTACGTCGGTTTTGTTCCGAGTATATATATATATATATATATATACATATATAATTAATTGTTAATTGGGAAATTGGCAAACTTCTTTCCCGTATTGGTTGCTAGCATCATAATTGTGTTTTCAGCTCCTGATGAAGGCTCCATAGAGAATTGCCGAAAGCTAG